CGTGGTTTCTGGGAAAAACGAACTTAAAAAATTTAGCTATACTTTTGGATACGCTGTGGTCATCCTACGCTTCTTTACAATTGCCGGTAGGCGTTTCATTTTAGATTAGATAGTTCAAAAGTGTAGACGTTTTTATTTAAAATTAAGTTTTTTGGCTTCTATAAATTAGGTTTCTCATTTTAGAATTTGTATTAATATGCGACTACCCTATTAAATATTTTTAGGTAGGAAAACTACGCTGAAAATGCTGATGTTGACTGTGGTGATGAGTATGGTTCGCAGCTTGTTCATCATATCAGCTATGTTCCTCCTTGTTTTATTTTACGCTTATATGGGCGTTGTCTTATTTGGTATGGTAAAATACGGACAAGCAGTTTCAAAGTTAGCATCCGTCTTCTCATCTTTTCCCTTCAAAAGTTTTTGAAAATACTTTTTGACCTTTTTAAAACTGACAGTGGAATGCGTTTATTTTCCTGAAAAATCGAAAATGTACGCCTAATTTAGGCATGTCAACTTTCGAAGTGGTAAAGAAGCGCTTGTTGTTTTGTTTCGAAGTGTGACTGGCGAAGACTGGAACGACATAATGCATGACTGCATGGTAGAACTATTTTTGATGGAGTTATAAATTAGTTCAACAAGTAATGCACATGCAGTGCATTTCGCTTAGTAAACTGTAAGATATAAGTTTTGTCTTCTGTTTTATGTGAAAGTATAACAAACCTTTCAGCGAAGTCCACCGCTGTGTTATTACAAAGAAGGCATGAATTATTGGGAATCTGACTGTGGCAACTATGTAGCAGCAATAATTTATTTCTGCTCCTTTTATCTTATTATCACTTACATTGCATTAAATCTACTCGTCGGTTAGTCACTCTTACTCATCAGCGTCGCTAAACCGTTTCGGCACTTTTGCAATATAAGCTGTCACGATTGCGGGGGAAAGCTTAAGGCGGGGCTTATGCAGAAGCATCGTTATGAGAACATACTCCTTGACTGTTTGTTTTAAAATTTAATATGAAAATCACCTTTAATCACCGTATGGGTCATGCTTCTGGTGCAGTTGATGGCAAGATTTACATCGAAAGTTTTTGTTACAGGAAATAACAACTCTTATAGGCGCTGTCATTTCTAATTTCCATTTCGTGGCAGGA